AGGAATGGGAATAGCAATCCTGGATTGTCAGCATCGAGTTAATAAGAACTGAATCAAAACAGTGTCCAGGCACCTCAATGGGATGTCCTTGGACGGTCATCTTAGACGGGTCACGGAAGCTTCTGTATGAATTGGACAAGCCTTAGGGACTGTCACTAAAGGAAGGCTGTGATCATCCAGCGTGCTGAGCACCAGGCGCTGCCCACCTTCTGCAGTTTCACCTCATGCTGCTTCTTACTGAGAAACTTGGCCAGTGGATCCTGGGCACAAAAGCCATTCCCATAATTGTCAGGCTTGTTTTATTGTCAGCTGGCCATGGTTGTGCAGCAGCTCCATGAAAGCGACAGTTGTGCATTTGTAATTCTGGCCTCCTCCAACGAAGAGCACAGCGAAGCACTCGGCCACGGTGGGGGCGACGTCGGCCGAGCTGCTGGCATGCTTAAAACTTAGGCTCCATCTTAACTGCTGCCAAGGGTTCACATCACATCATGGGTCCAACTTTCTGAGCCTTTTGGAAAGGGGAATTTATTCACTGAAATTAATAGGAGTTGCCTAGTAGATTTAAAAATAGATCACAAAAATAGATTTTAACATCCTGGAAACCCATTTATATTAGGATTAATTGAACCAGCAGCTACACTGAGAACATGAAAGTAAAAGCAAGTGAAAACTATTAGCAGAGCCAGTTCAAACGGTAGGGCAAATAATTTATTTATCACATATCAGTCCTGATTTTCACTTGCATGCCAGTAGCTGCATATTACCTCCTTGACAGTCTAGTTGTCTTTCCAAATGATTCTCTGTAAGATTCTTGCAATAATATCTATTTTTTTTCCCCAAAAAACAAAAATAGATTGGGCATTTAATAACTGAGAAGAGTGTGCTTATTTTGATTGGACACTTGGGGTGGCCCGGAATTGCTAGTGGCCTCTGTGGAGCTGGCTAGGTTTCCACTGAGAGCATTTGTGTTTGAATCTTGCATCTGCTCTCAGCTTTTAAAATTTGCTGTTTTCACAAATGAAAAGAAGACAGGAAAAAAAAAATTTATTTGCAGGCAGTTTATTCATCTCTGCTAATTAGACTGGGCTTGGCGACCCATACCAAGGGAAAATGAACCGTGAAGAAAAAGCAAAGCAAATGAGGTGGCTGGAGTCTTTCAGTTCTCCTTGTGTTGTTAGGGATGGTTCGGAGGGAACCATACCTGTAGGTCTCATTTAGCTGCAATTCTCTGCCGCTGCCGCGTGTGCTCCCTGTTGGATAGCGCTTGGCTCTGTTGCTTTGGGGTCACCACAGCCTCCTGTGCCAACAGCAAGGAAGGGACAAAGCTGAGCAGACTCATTTGTTGTAGAGAGGGAGGCAGTTTTTGGCTGGTCGAGAAGGGTGGGTGTCCTCGGCTAAGATGCCTGTTGTTCTGTTCTCAGGCTGGTGGTTTGTGAGCA